CAATTTAGTAGAGGGCATTCCCAAGTGTTGGCTCCTATCTGTGGATCCAAGCATTGCTGCCACTTTAAGTATTACAAAATCCGGAAAAGAGGGAAAGGAATATACTGACTTCTTGATAGTATTGGGTCATCTTAGAGGGCAAAGAAGGGCCCCTCAGGTGGGCTGCTTTCTGCTTCAGCTATTCCATATTCATGGAAGTAGTACCAAGCAAAAAAAGAAAAAGAAAAACAGGCAGTCAGCCCAAGATTTCAACAACTTACCCACATCTATTAATGCTTCTGCATTGAAACTTCTACCCTGCTTGAAAGGACAGAGTACAAAGAATTACAGGTACTGGCTAACAGAAGTCCAGGGCTGAATTCCAAACAGGCACTGCCTACTCTGAGAAGATAGTGTGTTTCCTTATAAGGGTGCCATTTTGTATTTCCAGCCTGGAAAATGCGATGGAGTGAGGTGGGGCAAGGAAGGGGGGAGGAGAGAAAAAAAAGCATGGTTGAGTCTCTTGGTAATATCTTTTCCACACACTCAGGTTAAACTACCCAGTAACCAAAGAACTGGTCAATCGGCCAAGTGAAATCAGATGTCTGGCCTCGTGGACACCCAAGCAGTCAGCTAACTGGCTCCCATTTTTCACTTTCAATGGCTTGATTCAATATCATGTGGACCTGGCCTGCTTTGGGACAACTAATAAGATGACCCAGGTGACAACTAATAAGGTGATCCAGGCCCAAACTACAAGCAGTAAATGACAATGGTGTGGTCAGCTTCATGGAGACAGAAAGCTGAAACAACCGGAAGAGAGTCTGGTGGCAAAGCACAACATAAAAAGAGAAAGCTCAGTTCTGGAAGCTTGCACTACTGCCATCCCTAGGCGTGAAACTGTAAATTCAAGAATGGTCAGCTGTCGGCTGCACTGAGCCAAATCAGAGACATTTCACATACACATTTTAATTGGGGGTTTCACTGTAACTGAAGAAATAAATTCCACCTAAGCAGATGCTCTCCCCCTCACCCCTCGCTATAGTATGTTTTGCACGTTGGCAAGTGGGCGCAAAAAATCTGCAACATGGTCTACTCAGAGGTAGGATGGAATTTCCCAGTTTTTCAATGGTAACAGATGCAGTTTCGGCTCTAATACACATTGGGCTCTCTCCAAAAAAAAAAAAAAAAAAAAAAAGTCACCCCTCTACCCCTCCTAGTTTTAATAATAAAATGCCACAGAATAACTAAACAGCATCCAGTCAACAATGATTTGTGGATTTGTGGTTAGTAATGGAGAAATGCATCCGCTGTTTCCAAATTTCCAGGTCTGTATATAAAGAAGCCCCATCTTCATTACTTTTTTCACTTGCTTGTTTATAATGAGAGGCGTCATAATCATGTTTCCTGTGAAAAAGAAAGTAATCAAAATGCCTTGTGATTCCAGGAAAAGAGCTTCTTAGGGAGACATGCCTGCCTGCTATTGATGTTGTAAAAAGGCTCCTTTTACATGGTATTAGATGTTGAGAGCATATATATTGATCTAGAAATAAAAAACTTGATTTTTTTTTTTTTAGTACAGTCAATCCCTACCTTCATAAGCACTTTATAACACTAGGAAGAGGGTTTTATTTTTAATTGAGGTAGAGTAAACAAATTATATTTGAAGAGCATCGCTATTTTTAGGGAATGGAGGATTTGTTAAGCTTTTTTGGCAGCAATTCAGGTAAAATCATGAATAAGTCTCACTCTTTCCAGTTTGGTCCAGGCCTCGCCCATAGCAGCTCTCCCCAGTTCCGAGAGGGGATTTCAAGTATTATCTTTGTTTAGCCTTTTTCTTCGTAGGAACAGTTATGAGTAGTTTTCTGAGTCATTTGCCCCTGCTTGAAGGCTGAAAATGCAAACTGCAGTTCAGTAAGAACCTAGGCCCTTATGCACTGATATTCTTCAGCCTGAAAATGGTGTGACTGCGTTGGAAAACCTCAAATCCTGGTATTAAGACGCACCGGCCTCGCTGCATTTACCACCAGAGATTAAAGCTTCGGTAGCACTGAGGACACCTTCCCTTAATGATGTACATCTCTCATTTTTTTCTGTACTTTACCTTAAAGTTCATACTGCACCACTGGAAGAAGAGATCAATATTTCAAATAAGCTCCCTTTCCCCACCACACCATTCCGCTGCACTAAGAGTTGCACGTTACCCAACACCAGTCTGTGAGCTAATCATCCTCCACCGAGGAGCGCCAGCTGCTTTATCACAAATTCTTTCCGATACTTCTTAGCAACACGAGTCTTCCTTTCGAGAAGAAAAAGAACAAAATTCTCCTATCCCTTGCTTTTTGGGGAAATGCTTTTCCAAATCAAGTTTAACTTTGCCCGAAGAAACCGATAGCTTTCCTCTTTTTAAAACGCCCCCCCACACCCCCGCCTCGTTCTCGCCTTTCTTTACTCCAAACCTGCCCCGCACCCTTCCGAGTCGCCCACCTCCTCTGGTTTCCAAGGAGTTTGCACGTGATTGCCTATCTTGCAAAATCCGGCCGCAGCCCTTCGCTTTTAAACGCTCTCAAACGCCTTATTTCCTGTCTCATTAAAGATGCTGCGAAACCTCCCACCGCTGTAGAGGTGTATCGCTGCATGTGCCTCCTTACATCCAAGTCTCCTCTCTCCCGAGTTTCGCGGCCCTGAGGTGCAGGTTAGTGGCACGCGCCTGGAAACTTATCCTAACGCATCTGACTCCAGGACTGGGGGGCGCGGCGCTGCCGAGGAATCCCAGAGCCCGGCCGAGGCTTGTGTGGGACGTGTGGCTCAAGCCTCTGTCAACCGCCTCGGTCTTGAAAGGCGAGCTGGGGTTGGTTTCTGACTTACCGACACACACACACGCTCACACACACACACACACACACACACACACACACACACACACAGAAAGAGAGAGGCGCATGGATGTTCGCTCCTGGAGAACTGGAGTTGGACGAGCCGGAGGTATTCTTGGCTCCCGGCAATCCAGAGCCCGCGCGGGGAGGCGTGGAGAGGACCCAGGGTCCGCCCGGCGGGGCGGGGTGGGCTGGAGAAAGCCTCCAGCACCGCCCTGGGCAGCCCTGGTCGTGCCTCTCCATGCTCCCCAACTCCAGCGCCGGCCCGGCCACCCTGGGAGCAGCTGCAAGTTTGTACTCGCCACAGGGCCTCCCTTTTCCCGGATGCTTCACCCGGAACCCCACTACAAGCTGCTGGGCCGCCTTCCCGCCCCCGCTCAAGGCCCCGCGCCCTGCGAGTGGCCGGCGGTCTGCCCGGGGCCGCCTAGCCATCCCCACTCGCAGTGGCGGCAGGGCGGTCTGGCCGGGGCTCGCCGCCGCCTCCTGCTGCTGCTGTTGCTGCTGCTGCTGTTGCTGCCGCCGCGGCGGCGGGAGCCTCTCCAAGGCTCTCCGGCCGCCCTTATGTATTATTCACTCGGGTGGCCGCGGCGCTTTCTGGACAGCCCGCGCCGAAGAGCGAGGTCTCCACCCGACAACTACTAGTTGGGCGGTTTCAGTTTCTTGGAAACTGGGGGTGATGGGGCGGCGGAGCACATTTTTCCGTTGTTTTGCTTTGGGGGTTTGGCTTTTTGGCTGGGAGCTCGGCGGAGCGCGCTGCCGTGCCAGGCCCGGGAGAGAGCGCACCAGCGCCGGCGAGCGCAGCAGGCGGCCCGGCAAG